ATGACGTGACGTTTCACTCATAATTACGGCAGGCATAAAACAAACGAATATCATCAGCAAAAATTGAACTGATTTGAATGGCTTTACTGCAGAGCAATTACTATATGCAATGAAATATAAATGTCACTGTCATTTGATGCTGGATGTGGTGAATAAGCTGCCAGTGATCAAAAATTTGAATATGAAGTCATTGAAAATTATAGTTTTGAGAATATGGTTGAAATTATGAATATGAGGCAGATACTTCCAAGTGGTTTGCTGACCATGATATTACTGTGCTTGATTAGCCAGCCAACATGCCTGACCTGAACCCCATATGGAATCTATGGGATATTTTCAAGAGAAAGATGAGAAACAGTCGATCCAACAATACAGATGAGCTGAGGGCTCAATAGTGCCTCAGTTGTGCCACAGGCTGATCGCTTCCATGCCACACCTCACTGATGCTGGAGTTTGTGCTAAAGGAGCCCCGACCAAGTATTGAGTGCATAAATGAACATACTTTAAAGAACTTGAGCTTTTCTGTTTTGCAAATCCTTTTTTTTTTATTGATCTTAGGAAATATTCAAATATTCTGAGATACTGGATTTTTGACTTTCATGAGCTGTAAGCTCTAACCATCAAAATTAAAACAAAAAAACTTTTGAAATGTTTTACTTTGCCTCCTTTTCAGCACATCATTATCATTTCCATATTTGCTTTGGGAGGTATGTGTCCACTGGACCCCCCTAAGACTAACTTTTAGGGCCACCCACTACCTCTGCGGCCGGCCTATGCCTCTTTTGCCATCAGTCCCACCATTAAGTAATAGAAATATAGAGGTCAAACAGGTACTTCAAACTCTTTTAAATTACAGACCAGAGACCAGACTAAGGCTGCACCAGCACATTTCTTGGAGCAGATCTATCTATCTATCTATCTATCTTGTCTGTCTGTCTGTCCATCCATCCATCCATCCATCCATATTTTAATTTTCATCAACTGAAATGTTATTTTTGTTGACTAGAATCAGTAAAACGCACAAAAAAAAATTAACATGACATGACAAAATACTGGCTAAATTTAAATTATATTTTCATAAAAGAGTGCACCAAATGTAGCCAGAGCAGAACGTTTATTGCCCAGAGATGGCAATAAACGGCCTTTTCCATGAAATTCACGGATGCTAGCTGCAATCCAAGAGCTGACTTAATGAAACACTTGAGCAGCATATGGTTTCTGCTCAGTTATTCTAAGAAGTGGATCCAACT